GTTACATGACACAAAAATCATATGGGTGAGTAGAACATGAATTAACGTAAAATCAAGGGCCCAATGTAAAAAAACGGTATTCCCCTTTAAGGTACCATTTAAAAAAATACCAACCTTTAGTCAAAAATTAAACACTTTTTGTTTTTCATTAAGCCCACTGTTATTTTAAAAAATGTCTTAATTATCTGTAACAGGAAAGTTATCATGCTTAACAGAAAGAGGTTATTATAAAAATCTCTACCTCTGTGTAATTAGTCTATGATGTGTTTTTCAAATTTAATTAAGTCAATGAAGTAAATTACCTTTTTAAAAATCTTGTAATCTATTGAATATGGCTGCATATTGGTTGAAATGCAAGTCTAACAAAGAATATGGGTGTAGATTTCAACAAAAAATTCATAATTATTAAGAAAAATATGTAGTGGCAGAAGTTCAGAAAGTACGCAACATTGCTAAAACAACTTGCTCATCTTTTTTAAATCATTAAATCAAAATTTCCAGTCTCTTCCACTGTGACGGCTGTGTAAATTCCTGCATCAATACTTGACACTGCTTCTATAAACATTCGTGAAATAATGGCTCGTCATCAGGAGCTCAGTGAATTCTGCTATTACCCTGACAGGATGCCACCTTTATTTTAAGTACAGTTTTGAATCTCCTCTGTTTTAAATACCTTGCAGTCATTTGTGGGTGTTATTATAAAAAGTACTGTGGGTAAAATCCCAACGCTGGTCAGAAGATAAGGTGAACCATCCTCTAACAATTGCTGAGTCAATAGGCTCCTCCAGCCACCATTTCTGTTAGGAACTGACAAAGGTGAGTCACCTCTGACCATTTATACTTCCCAAGTGGATGTTGGGATATCCTGCCCAGCTGTGGGCTTTCCCAAATCAAGTGGCGGGGCGTCTTGATGGGGCTTTAACATCAGCACTGCACGCAAATCTTTCAGTAAATAGCACTTAAAAAAAAAAAGAAGAAGAAATATTAGTAAAACCTAGAGAACCATTCGTGTCGTTGGCCGAGAAATGTCCCAAACCCCCCATCTGGTCCCTGTGTCTTTTTCTCAAGTCCTTTAAGTCCTTTAACATCACAGTGAAAAATTAAAGGACTAAGGGGCTGGTTATACTCCTGTCGCAGTGAGCTTGTCACAGGTATGACGCAGATATTTTTGATTTATGCCCAATTTTGAAGCGTGGTCTGCGCTATGTTACTTCACGACACAACACAAGAAGGACAATCATTAACTACCTGTAGGTCTAGATACGGCCGAGGCAGTGAGGAAGTTGAAAAACGCAAAGGGAAAGTTTGTGCGACAATTGAGGGACATGAGGGCAAACAAAATTGAGGATCCAGGTGGAAAAAAGGTCCCAGCGTTCAAGCGCACCTCGCTCTTCTAGCTGGTCCAACTTCACGAGTCGTTTTTCACAATGGCGGTCATACAAACAAAACAAGCCGGTAAGATACCAAACAGGAAATACACATAGTGTAGAGCTGATGTATAATTGACCAATCAGAGACCTGCTGTCTGTGGCACTGTCTGCGGTCACCTACAATTTATAAAAGGTGCACCAGAGTCTCTGCAGAAGGGGTGGGGGCATATCTGAGTTAACTGCAACACACACGCAGACGACCTGGTTTTGGGTATAAATCAGCCTTTAGTTTCAGCAATCTTGAGTATGTTAAGTGTTTGGACATGCATCCTTTTATTTAATGCTATGGGTGAAAGGTGGGTTACATCCTGGACAGTCCATCAGTGGGTGAGACCGTAACCATGGACGTACAATGTCACACCTGAGGGCAATTTAGAGATGCCAATCAACCTAGCAGTCATGTTTTTTGGACTGCGGGAGGAAGCTGGAGTACCCTGAGAGAACCCCAGGCATTGAACCTAAACTGCACCACTGTGCAGCCCAAATTTGAAAATGATTCACTTTCATTTTAGCTGTCCAAACTCCAAAGGTTTGGAGAAAAGAAGATGTCCCTTCACTTGCTTTTTTTTGTCTTTTAGAATCTACCACTTAACTAATAAAATTGTTTGCTTTTGGTTTTTTTGCACGAATTCAAAGTCATGAATTGGACATTTATAAGGCTGATTTACTATCCGCATTTTTATTTGTTAAAAAGCATTTTTTTCCCCCAAGAAACTCCATCTTTAGGGCAACTGTGCTTGTTCTTGGGCAGTTGGAGAAAATAGGAAACTTTTATGACTTTCACTGCATCAGCTGACCCTGCTGATGTGACACAACCTGGAGGCAGATGGGGGGAATGTGCAGCATTAACACCGATTCAGCATCTATGCTCTCGGCAAGTGGTATCCAAGCAACCACAGATGTAAACACAGCAAGTATGGACTGGAACACTTGAAAATGAGGAAAAGAAAAACATTAAAGTGGAAGTTCCACTATTTCCCATGTGGGCCGTATGTATCTGACCTTGTAAACATGCAAGAAACGCTGCAGAGAAAGAACATTATGTCCCAAGATTCCTCATTAAGTCAGGAGCGAAAGAATGTGTGGAATCAACAGAGACAGAGAGGAGACGGCTTGTGCTTACACAAGTGACGTTCATCTGATGTAAGACGCTATCTCAGAGAGCTTCTAGAGAGCGTAACCACAGCGCAGGCTGGGTGTGTATCAGTGTGTGTCTGTTTGGCTTGTGTGGTATAGTCTTTGTATCTCACAGAGGTGCGACTGCCGTGCAGTTCCATAGATACCGTTGCTATGTTTACACCAAGCCTCACCTTTGGTAATGCAAACAAAAAAGTGATCCTGGGATTTTTAGCACAAATGTCAGGGGTAGCCCAGACAGGTAGCTCTGTCATGCACACAGGCCACCTTATTGTGAAACAACAAGGAATTTCCTTCTGAAGAACAGTGTGACTGAAGAAATAGAAAATTCACATCAGAGACATGTTTGAAATTCCAACTAAAAGAAATCCTTGAGGCATTTTAGGTTTTGTTTTTTTTCTATTTAGTTGTGTAAAGCATGACTATGTGGGTAACTCCAGAAAAGCGCAGTCGGGTTCAGAAGAAGGAAAGTGGAGAATACCCCCGCCTCCAATCTGTCCCGTTTTCTTTAATGTAAAGATCACCTTGTTACAGTGGAGCTACTGTAAGAGTGATTCTAAAACACACCTCTCTCTGTTTAATGATTTCATTTTTTTTATAAAGATAGCATAGATTTAAGCAGTTTGTCCTCTAGAGAGACTAATAGATTTTGAGTGTAGGGGCAGCGTCCCTCGCTGTTAACGCCAATATGGACCAATTCATGGTCAACCCTGGTGTTTAAAGCATAATGTTAAACAGAAAAATTCAGAAAAATCTACCTCTTGATTGGAGTACATTTGTTCAGTGGGGAAAACACCCAGATAACGCCCTTTGACAACATTCCATTTGGCACATAAATCAAATCAATACTCAGGGAAATTGCAGAAGTTATCTTCTAGTTCATATTTTTATAAAACTGATGAGTTTCCATGATCATTCTATTAATAATCTATCGCCTTCTCTTGTGTATATATACATATGTATATGATAAGATAGAGGGGACCTTTTTATGACAGAAGTTTGAGCTGAACCAAGACTTCTGTTTGCTTTACTACAAAGCACACAGCGGTGGAAGACAGGAGAAATGTAAACACATGGAGTTTTCTTAAGTCTTCTGGGACTTTAACTGGAAACATACGCTTTGGCTTTGTGACCCACATTAAAATTTTTTTTACCAACTATTTTATTTCAGGTGGTTTTTAGCAAATTGTTTGAATAAAAGCACCTTAAATCCATTGGAGTACTGTGGAGGGTCTGTGATGTTGTGGGTCTTTTTTCCTTTTCCAAAAAACCAGGGAATTTTTGAATCTTAGGCATCCTCAACTTTTTTTAAATTTGAAAATATTAAAAAAGTATACATATGTTTAATTTCACATGTTTTCTTTGTTCTTTGTCTCCTTTTTTTTTTTTTTATCACATTCAGAAACCAAACTATGCAACCATGGTAAACTGACTGCAAGAGGCGCTGCTTCTGCTGTACATACAGCAATTTTCACACACACAAAAAAGAATACATATAGAAAACATACGTTTGTACTAAAAGGTTAATCTGCATGAACACAATGCCAAAAACACGTTTGCCCATTTATATTTTGAACTGCAAAAAAAGGAGGAAAAAAAGAATTTTTGTATTTCGTTTCATCACAAAAATACCTGACATTTTTATTTTTTTTGACACTGCTCAAATGATGGATAATGAGCATAAATTGAGAGAAGTTGTGTATCGAAAAGGGAAAAAAGATCATTTTTAGGAGTTTTTTTTCTATTATCCCAAATATAAAGAGAGAATAAAACCAAATTCAAATTTCTACTCAACTGTTTCAACAACTTTAATTTTCCTTCCATTATCTTTTTATCATCAGTAATACATGTTTGGAAAAATCCATCAATCAAAAGCTACACATGCCATGCATGCAACATGAATATTACATATTGATTTCAGTAAAAAATTCAAATAAAAAGAAAAATCCACTGTATGATAAAGCATGGTGGGAAATCATGCGGCTGTGGGTTATTCCTACTTTGTCTGTGTGAATTTTAAAACGCTCTGCATTTTATTTAAATGCTTTTAAATTTGGCCAATTAGGAAAAATTATGCTGTGCTGCACTTTGGTCAGCCACTTGAAACACATAATTTCCCCAGAGCACGAAGGGAATTCTTCAATAGTCAGTCAGGGGCTGTCTTTGCCTCTCATTCATGCCCATTGTGTCTCATTCACTGACATATGGCCCCTGTGCAACACGTAGGACAGGTAAAAAATAGGTGTCTAATAGGAAACTACAGGTTTTCATTCTGAGTCTCTATTGGAGAGTGGGGGGGATTTTTCGCTCAAAAGCACAGCTCCGATGTGATTTCCCTTCTGCTGTTTCTAAGTCAGTCGGAAATCCCCACACAGGCTCCTCCCAAAGCTCTCAAAAGGCTGCCTCCGCTCCGCAGACGCACACATCTGCTCTGACCTTCCTGCGCGCAGCACAGACGCACCGCTTTTACAGACATCATGGACATCCACTCTATGCGCGGACAAATGGATTATAATTCTGTTCTCATGGAGCCCAAGCATGGGAAAATGCTGCCCGGACAGGAGGAGCGGCTGGACAGCGGTGTGGATTCGATGCAGGACGACGAGATTTTGAAGGAGTTTGAAGACATGAGCGTGAGCGCTGGGGAGGAGCGCACGGAGGAGTACGAGCGCTGGAGGGAAGCGGTGACCGAGGACGGAGACACGTAAGTGGGATTTGTTCGGATTATTTCATCTGTTATCCCCCCATCTCTTATTTTTCCTGCAAAACTGCATTTTTTATTTCTTTTTGCAACGTGCATGCATGCTTTTAAAGGAGCTCAGAAATGCAACATTTTCAAAGACGCGCACTAGAAGGTTAAATGTTGCACAGATGTAGAAGTTTTAAAGAACCAAAGCAGAAGTGCATGCAAAGGTGCATTTGAGAGTGTTTGCAGTGCGGCTGTGCGCAGTCTGGGCGGTGCTAAAGTCCGCTCTGCGCATTCAGGAAAGTCCCTGGCCCCCTGCCAGGAACTGATAAAGCATCAGATGTGTCAAGCCACAACTGGTGGAAATAACCCGACAAAACTCCACTGTTGCGAAACGCTCCGCTGCTTAGCCTTTGTTCTCTCTTACATGACTGAAACCACTTCCCCTCTGAGTAGTTTCTTTTTTTAAAAGCTCTATTTTAAAAATGTTTTCCCTCTTTCCCCCTACAGGCTGCTCCACTTGGCTATTATTCATGAAGCTACAGAACAAGCCCTTCACATGATCCAGCTATCCAGAAATCACTCTTATCTCAACAAACAGAACCATCAAAGACAGGTAACAGTCAACATCAAACCCCAGTAACACTAAGATCTAAATCCTCACATGTTTGAAGCATCATCTAAATAAATGTTTCCTCTTGTGTAGACTTCCCTCCACCTGGCTGTGATCACTGAGCAGCCCCAGGTAGTGGACAGGCTCCTGAAGGCCGGCGCTGACCCGCTGCTGGCCGACAACAGCGGCAACACAGCGCTCCATATTGCCTGCAAAAGAGGCTCCCTGGCCTGCTTTGGGGTCATCACTCAGAACTGCCAGCGCCACCTCACCTCCATCCTGTCCATCCCCAACTACAGTGGTAAGCATCATCCGCAGCTCATCCCTGCTTTTCACACACCATCATCATAAATTAAATTCAAAACTGAGATCCTCTCTTTTTTTATTGCTTCCTCAGGACACAACTGTCTCCACTTGGCATCCATTAATGGTTACATTTCACTTGTGGAAAGCCTTGTTCAGCTGGGAGCAAACATCAATGCACAGGTACGTCTCTGACATGATGAAGCTTAATGATCTAAACCCACAAAAAAATTAAATAAACGCAAAAAGACGCAACAAAACAAAAAACCTAACTGTTTGCTTTTACGGTTTTCCTTTAGGAACCCTGCAGCGGACGGACGGCGCTCCACCTAGCCGTTGATCTCCAGAACCCAAACCTGGTTCGCTGCCTCCTCGAGCTTGGCGCTGAGGTCAACTGCCAGAACTACGGAGGCTTCACGCCGTACCACCTCACATACGGGCGCCAGAACGACGAGATCCGCTGCCAGCTGTATGAGCGGACGGCGTTTGAGCTCAGAGAGCTGCCCGACAGCGAGTCGGACGACAGCGACATGGAAGAGCTGCTGGAGGACGAGGTAATTATCCCCACCAGAGCGCCGCCAATCCCATCAGTTAAAAAAAAATATGACCTTCTAGGATTAAAGCTTTGTTTCTAACGAATTCTTTCCTTGCTTCTCTTCAGGTCTACGATGACATAAAGTTTGGGAAGTAGACAAAGCGGTTCACTGCTGGTGTGAACATCAAGCGAATGGGTTTGCTGAAGAACGGCTCCCAAGGGGGTAAAGAAGCAGGTCATGAACACCCCCCACCACCACGGTTGGCCGACGGTTCGAGCCCGCAGGTGCTGGCCCCGGGACTGCAAACAGGAATGAAGATGGTGTCCAGTGAAGAATACTGGAAAACCACAGCGGCGACACTTCCACCTGTGCCACAATTGTTTAAAAATATAAATATATATATATATTATTGTGTAAATACAAGATTTGTAACATATTGTAAATACAGAGATCCTATTTTTGTACTGAGTGTGAATTTAAACACTATTATGACAAAGTCAAAAAATAAAAAGTCTATGAATATGAGTGGTTGTGACTAGTGGTTATCCTCAGCTGAATTACCCTCCACATGAAACATGACTGTTTGATGACCTTTCCAAAACTTTACAACAAGCGTCATTTCTAACAATGAGGCAGAAGTCGGTTAGTAAAGATGAAATGACAGAACAAAACAGAAAAGACCCGCCAGCCATGGTTGGAACAGTATGGGATTTCCTTTGTTGGGCGAGGTCAGCATGTCTGAGTCACCTCGCTGAAAAGTCCCTGGGCGGCACGCTGGAGGAACACGGCGTGCTCTCATACATTCCACGCTGACTGGCAGGCGAGGAACTGGCACTGCCAGATAGATGCCCCGTGGAGGAAATGTTCTTTTTCAAATGTGGGAAAGAAAGCTGGGTGGGTTCACTGCTGTATCATAGCAACAGGGAAACTTTGCTCCAGTCTGGGAAGTACAAAGCTTCCTCTTTGAGATAAGCTGGAATTTCTTTAAGAGATGATTCAGTTCGCTGATGTTAGTTGCTTCCTTGTAGGATAGTGTTTCATAACTCCTGTGTAAAAATCCTTTTTTTTTTCAGGAACCAAATATAATGGGAATAAACCCACCAACTACATGGGAAAAGAAACTGATGTCATGAGGATGACGAAAGTTATCATTTCTGATCAGTGGATGACAGAATAGCTAAAGGAGAAGCTGAGCTTGACGCGTTCATTCACAAGAACCCTGAATCTCGCAGTAAAGAGAAGCCCATGTGTCAGGGCTTTAACTGCGTAGATTTCCTGTAAATAAGCTACTTCTGACATAATGGGGGTATAAAGGAATATAAATAGGTCAAATCAGAGGCGGTGTAGTAAAATAACCTTATTGCAACACCCCAATGTAATCTGACCCTAGAGCCACAACAGGAAGCCCACACAGAGGGCTCATGTTTCCATTTACACTTTCAGAAATGTCAAAAAATAAATATAAGCTATACCTTTGCATGATAAAACATTAAAAAGAGAACAATAAACAGGACAGAGGTTGTTTTTACTCCAAAAACTTGTTTAATTGTTGAATGAAATTGTTGGGGAGGAGGGAAAGAGGGATAAATGTACAGCAAACAAAGATAAACACCAGCCTCCTTCTGGGAACTGCGCTTCCCATCATGCTCTAGGTCAGTCAAACAGGTGGCATCTCTCTGCTCGCTCAGTCCCGCTCTGCCAAGGACATGAGGTGGGTGTCTACTTCAGACTCTGTCAGCATCCTGAAGGAGATATGAAAAGAATGGGAGAGCAGATGATATTTCTGTTAAGTGAACATTGTCTACAGACTTTCCATACTTTGGACAGTACAGGGAAAAGTCTTCAAAATTCAAAGTTTTCCCTGGTTTTGTATTCAGCCTTCCTGAGTCAAACATCTATGGTTGCAGTTACACTTAATTTAAAGTAGTCCTTCTATCTTTATAATAAAATGTATGGGGAAAAATTGCATGAAATTTTATTGTGTGTACCACCCTAAAGTCAGAACAGAAGCACCTCTGCAAGTGCAGTCATTCATTTTCCCTCAAATAACTACAGAAGGTGTTGGATTATTGATTTGTAAAATAAAATCAAAATATAAAAAAGCACCAAGAGCTGCTAAGATGTTTCTGGCTTCTATAATCAGAAAAGGCCGTTGCTGTTCCTGCGTTACAGGATAAGAGAGGTAAAGGAAACAAACATTTCTCCAAATAAAACGCTGAAGCCTTTTCATCCATTCATGTGCTATGAGGTTAGCTCACCTCAGTCTGAAGGACATGATGGGAACAAATGTTTAGAAGGAAGCAGATGAGAAAAGGTTAGGCTTAAACCACCTTTGTTAACTGGAATAAATGTATTTCTGATTAAGCTGAATTTGATCAGTCGCCTTTTTACTCCTAACCATTATTTCCTTGGAAATATGCTACAAGTCGAAAGTGTTTTCCAACATTGAACGTTTCTGATGCAGGACTGCCCCGTTTTAGCTCCTTCAACAACATCCCCACAGGATGATGCTGCCAATACCATAGTTCACAGTTCAGAGCAACATGCAAATCTAGTTTTGCAAAAAAAAAAAAAAAAAGTTTTCTTGATCTAATCTGACAATTAGACTCCATTAGATTTATGCCCATAGTGGAGCCCCCCAACCTGTTCCTCAGGGACCTGTCTTGCATGTTCTAAGCTGGGCATACACTGTACGATTCTTTGCCCTTTTCAGGTCAATTTTCCAGTCATGCAAAAATTTTTGGATCAGGAATTGTGAGGTGGGAGAAAATCAAACATGTTTGAAATTTGATCGACCATTCTAAGGTGTTCGTGAACAAATCTTCTGTTGAAGCAGAGTTACGAGCGTCTACAAGCAGATTTGCCAGAACCCCGAGCACTGCGCATGTCCAAACAAGGGAGTGGACAAGTCTTTCGGCGCTGAACCCGACGAGTGGTTTCTGGACGCACAGTGTGAGCATGCAGATCACATCAGAGCGTCAGGCCATACAGTGTAAGAACATACATCGTGAGCTGTGAAGTTTTAAACCCTGAGGTTTCGTTGTACAGTTTGAGCTGTAGCTGAGAACAATGATTAAAAATATCATACAGTGTATGCCCACCTGCTGAGGAGGTCATGCAATTATTTCTAACAGCCTGCACTGGAAGAGACACATCTGGACTTTAACAATCTAATCTTTAACAATGCAGATGTTCTACCTGAACTTGGGGTCCTGTGTTGTCACAACGCCCACCTCCAGCTCAGAGGGCTTGAAGTCAATGGAAAGGACAGTTGAAAGACAAGAAATGGCCGTCTGCAATGGAGGGAAAAATAAAGGTAGTTAAGGTCAGGGGTCATCATTTTGCATGCAACAATGAGCAGTTATTACATCTTTAGTGCTTATCTGCTTCTTAAATTGGAATATGAGGGTTATATAATATGTTACAAGCAGGCAGGAAACCACCAGAAGTTATGCGGGTTGCTTTCACATTCAGGTTCTTTTCTTATCAAGCTCTGCTACATCAGCAAAACACGGCTTTACCTCAATCGTTTGCTCGAAGGTCCAGTCCAGTTTCTTTTTTACTTTCTTCTCCAGGAAGCTGGTTGCTTCTGTCTGCTTCACTCCGGCAGCGGTGGCCTTAAAACCGCAGTAATAACCAGCCGGGTCGCATTTATACACCTGGGGACCGTACTCCTCGTCTATGCCGATCACAATCATACCTGCAGATAAACGGGGAACCGTGGTCATTTCTCCGTGTAGCTTAGAAACTAAAATCTATTTAAATGCAATGAGTGAGAAATGGACTCACAGCAGCCTAGCGGTCGCATCTCAGCGTTCTGCGTGTAGACTTGTGAGATGTCAGCGATTCTCTTACACAACATGTCCACTGGGATCTCATAACCGTACTTGTACTGCCAGTTGGCTGCCTCGTAGCGAGCTCGCTGGACCTGAGACCTGCTGTCAGCTGTGGATCGCGTACGAGAGGTGGACAGGATAAAAAAAATTTAAAAATCATGAATGATCAGTTTTAAAAAAGGCAAAGAAAAATGCATTTAGTTTTAAGTAAATACAGGTTTTATATAGAAACAGTGAGCGCTAAGAGGTGAAAATATGATAGTTTTGCTCATTCTTTTGTTAAAATAAAATGTCTATAAATCAAAATACATTAACAGGACACTTTACATGCTTTAAAGAGAGAAAACAGAGCTTTGCCCAGCTGTGTTGCCCCTCCCCCCAATTTGCTGCTATATATGGTGATGTCAGTGTGATTACTTAAACTGCAAGTCCCCTAAACCTCGTTATTTTCATAAGAAGTTTGGACATCCTTTACAAAGCACTTAAAACATGAACTATATGCATTTGGAATGGAAGCAAATGTCGACAAATGTTTCTGTCGTCTCTGTTATCATGACAGCAGCGATTTTGTTAACTTCTACAAACTAGTTAAGAGCATCTATATACTTTGTCTGGAACCCGATCATGCCTGCCTACAAAGATGGCGTAAAAAGAAAACAGTTCTAGCTTGGTGTGGAACGGTTCACAAAATCCACGGTTCGGTTCGGTATATGTCGATTGTTAGCCTGACATGTTGGTCGTGTTGCTGCTAGCATAAACAAAATGTGTTGCACAATGCTTACACACTGTTGCACTTTTATCCACAACTTTCTTTCCGCCGTCATCGTAGGTCACTCTAAATGCAAAGTGGTCCCATACAGCAGACCTATAAAGTGCTGCTGGAGCGTCTTCCAACTCCTGTTCTTTCCCACTCGCCATACCCACACAATTCTCCACAACAACTGATTTTTTTCCGCTACACCCGGCTACGTTGTTCGCTTCTTCTTTTTGTTTACTACTGGTGGTTGGCTTTGGTCGCAGTACCGCCACCTTCTGCTCTGGAGTGTAAACGCTTCGCCTATGAGAAAAAGGAGCAGCGCATGAACCGAACGCAACACACGCGAACCGAACCAAGAGAGTTAAACCGAACAGTTCGGACGGTTTTCATAAACCGTTCCATCCCTAGCATACACTGTACGATATTTTTAAATCACTGTTCTCAGCTATGGCTCAAACTGTATGATGAAACCTCGGAGTTTAAAAGTTCACAGCTCAGGATACGCGTTGTTCCACGAGGTGACCAGATGCTCTGATGCAATCCCACTGCTCACGCTGTACGTTCAAAAACCACACATCAGGTTCAGCGCTGTAGACAAGGTGCTGGACAGACTCGTCAAAGAATTTCCTTTTTTGCAGATGTGCAGTGCACACAGTGGAAAAATTCCAAATCTAGACGACTCAAATATTCTTAAAATAAGTGCATTTGTTCTTGAATTGAGGAGGAAAGTGAGACATTTTGCCAATGGAACAAGACAATTTACATTTAAAATCAGAAAAAAAATTCATAGAATTGTCTTATTTTAAGTGCATATTATCTAATTATCTTACTTTAAGTGGAAAATGCTCATCCCATTGGCAGATCATCTTATTTATCTACTCAAAGTAAGGGTAAATGCACTTAATTTAAGACATTT